TAATGAGATATATATTTATTACTTCAAAGGTCATTTTATTGATTCCTGTATGTGAGTTTGAAGTATATATATATATATATATATATACACACACACACACACACACACACACACACACATATATATATATATATATATATATATATATATATATATATATATATATATATATATCAGGTAAGATGAGAATGAATAGAGTACAATTAAAAAATATTATTTCTTTTTGGATATTACACTGAAAAATTGATACATAATTGCAATCATGTTTCAATGCATATCAATGTATTTCATAAATCACCTAATGAGATGCATTGATACACATCAAAACATGACTGCAATTGTGTAGCAATTTTAACATGTTTTTGTGTAATATACTAAAATAAATATATATATATATATATAATATATATATATATATATATATATATATATATATATATATATATAAGATAGAGAGTGTGTGTGCATGTGTGGAGAATGGTGCAGAGGTTAGAATATTAACATTTCAACCAGAGACCCATGTTAAATCACAGACGGTGGATTTTTTAAGGAGATGATTTCTTGATAATATTATATTTAGATGACTATCCCAGTGTGCAGTGCCATTGGGAAGTGTGTCTGAAAACCATTCTACAGGGGAAATTATATTGAGTCAAAAAAGCTGTTTAAGATCTATTGATGGTTGTGATAGTACAAAATCCCAAGTCATCATGAGCAAAGCTTTGAGGCTACTGGCCTTTATTCAAACACTGATCACAATAGATTGAAGGCTTTTGCCCAGAAACTGTAACTAACATCTGCTCAGTACAACTTCTGAGCAGGCATTTGTCACAGGCTGGCTCTGTGGTTGTTGAAGAAAAAAATGTGCCTGAGAAGAAGTCTCTAACAGAGATGAGCTTGATAAACTCATAGACGGGTGTCATCAGAAATGAAAGAAGCATTCTTAAAACTCCATTTTTGGGATAGTGAGCAGCTGCCATGTCACATTCTCTTGGATTGTCTGAATGTCTTGAAATTGTATTCTTTTCAAATGGAATTTCATTTTTGAAAAAGGAAAATGTTGCAAGGGGTGAGATCTGTGGAATATGGTGGTTGTCGAACCTGGGGAATGTTGGTCTTGGCCAAAACCTGCTACACAAGCCATAGTCACTGATAGAAGCTCTATGATGTGGTGAGATGATCACATTCTACAAACTTTCCTTCCAAGCAATTATAAACAACTGATGTGAGTGATTATGTTATAATTTAGTGTGTATGCAGGACAGAGTTCAAGGTAAATCTGTATCAAGCAGCTTCACCCTGTGTTACTTTAGCCACAGTCCCGATACTTTTTGATCAGACTTCATAAATGATCAGAGGTGAGGTAGGTGAGGGCTTACTAGTTAAGCATACAGAAGATTAGCACAGTTATAATTATCATCAAATGAATTGGGAATGGATTAGCAATGGGTTTTATACTGATGATGATGGTGATGATGATGATTATGATGACGACAACAATGATGATGATGATGATGATGATGATGATGATGATGATGATGATGATGATGATATGGGGAGGGTCATAATGGTTCTTGATGAAAAATAAAATGAAATTGATTAAGTTAATTTCAGCCATAGTTGTTATGCTCAATTTGTACTATTGTTTTTAAGTTTCTTCATTACCATCACCCCACCTACAGTTGATTGGTTGGTTGGTCATTTAGTTAGTTCATTGGTATCAACCTCTATGGGTTATTTCATGCTGAAATCTAAATATTTAGTACATAATTTTATGCTTTCAACTACACATATTTTGTACATAATTTTATTTTATTTTTAACTTTATATTCAACCCAAGTAAGGCAGTAATGCCACAGAGGGTTACATGGAATGAAAGTATTTAGGAAAGGACAAAAGAGAAACAGGATTCAAGAAGATGGCAATTAATGTTGCATTCAAATTTTTGAAGATTGTAGTCATCAGGGAAACAAGGAAATGGAAGTGAATTGCACAGGAATAAAATGTTAGAAAAGAAACTGTTAGAATAGAAGTGATGATTGCATTTAACTATTTGAACAATAAAATGGTGGAACCTAGATGCCAATTTTGTAACACACTTAAATTCACGTATCTTACTTTAAAAATAAATTCACGTATCTTACTTTAAAAATAAATTCACGTATCTTACTTTAAAAATAAATTCACGTATCTTACTTTAAAAATAAAGATATGTTTTTTTTAGATATATACTTTGTAGATCATAAATGTATTGTTGGTCATTTTATTATAAAATGAATTGTTGATTTTTGTTTGGGCCCCCCACCTATAGACAAAATAGTAGAGTAGAATGTGCCCATTAGTTTAGGTAGGACAACCATTCTATAAGAAGGGAAAGTCTGAATTCAAACTGCTGCCAAGTATATCATTGGTTCAGACCAATTACTCTTGATGTCTGACAGACCCTTGACAAATATCCAAATCATGAAGTGAACTGAGAAACATAGCTGATATAAATAAAAGAAAAAACAGAAATGGTGTATTTATCTTTAATATAAGATGAACATTTATTTTGAAAACAAAGTTTTGGGGAAAAAATCTAAAGTCATATTTGAAAAAAAAATTCAATGTGATACACAAAAACATATTATGCTTATAAAAAATATTTTCAAAAGAACTAATTCTAGCTTATTTAAATATATTAACAAATGGTTGGGGTATATCTCACACACGCACACACACATGCACAAACACACACACGCACATATATATGGGATAGTAGTCGTGGGTTGTGGGGGCACAGTCCTATGGGTAAGAGAAACTCGGATGACTTCCACCACAGAATATGTGATCGAGCAGCACTATATCGAGTCTAGTTTATTACCTCTTCATCACCGAGGCCCATTGGTACAGTTGGTATGATGTTTGCCTCATATCATAATGGTCTCGGTTTCAATTTTCGGTAGTAGATGCGCACTGCTGATGAGTCCCAAATATAAGACGAAACGGCCGTCCAGTGCTTTCTGCATTCTGCTGAGGTTTCTTCTAGACTTAATTATGAATATATATGTGTGTGTGTGTGTTATGCACATCTTTGGTGTATAGGAAACCAGGCATCAAATTTTGAGCAAAAGCCTGCATCTTATACCCAAAAAATATTGTATACAATTATACAAAACTAAGAATAAACTTCTTTTATTTTTTAGTTTGCCTTCCATCAGCATGGCTGATGCTCCCCACCCCCAGTAGAGTGACTCATTGTGCTTTCTCTGGTTAACATTTTCTATCAAGCTTTCTTTCTTTTTTCTTTGATCTTCAAAAATTTGAATGCAATGACAATCATTATCTTCAGTCTTTTTAATTCCTGTTCTTTTATTGTTCTCTTTCCTTAATAGTGTTTTTTCTTTTTCTCATATTCTTTCATACTGTTGCATCTTAGTGGCTTTATTGCCTTTCTTAAGGTTAAATGATTTTAAAAAAAGACCTATACTAGCAATTATTAATTAATTGAAAACCTGACATAAATTTACTTCAGAATATATTCTTTTTTCAGAATATACACCAAAATATATTTCAGCTCCACTCTAACTTAAACATTTTTGGGTAAAGAATAAAAACCACCCAAAATTCAATTCCTGGTAAGAGCACTCTTGAAATCAATTTAAAAGAAGAAACAAATTTGGTTAGAGGCTAAAAATGTCTGTACAAGTTCATGCATGTAATTTCATATAAAGTAAGTTTATATTTTTAGAGCTTCACAGGGTCTGGGATTGGTTTCTATATTATAGAATATAATGAATAATGAATTTTTATCAGATGATTCAGACATCTTTTCCTTTATTTTTTTACTTATATGAATGTATCTGAGCCAAAATTAAATAATATTCTTTCTGCCTTCAGTTCTCTAAAGCATAAGTTTGCCTTTGCTAAATATACATATGATGAACTAGATGACCAATTTGCTGATGAAGCATGAGTTTGGTGGTGGATAGCTGGATTTGAAACTGCTGCTGCTGCTACATTGCATGTCAATTCGAATCAATGCTTCAGGACTTCTGCCTCCTGGCAAAAACAGACATGGAAGCAAGCAAAGAAACATAAAAAGCAAATAGGAGGCACTAATTAGCTGAAAGGCCAACAAGAGCATATTCTAACCAATAGAAGTGCAGCTTTATATATATATATATATATATATATATATATATATATATATATATACATATAGATAGATAGATAGATATAGATATGGATATAGATAGATAAAATATATAAAAATATAAATCCATTAATTCTTTAAATATATATATATATATATATATATATATATATATATATATAGAGAGAGAGAGAGATAGATAGATAGATAGATAGATAGATAGATAGATAGATAGATAGATAGATATGGATATACTTAAAAATAAATCCATTAATTCTTTAGAAATATATATATATATATATATATATATATATATATATATATATATATATATATATATATATATATATATATATATACCTTTGATATATATATATATAAAATATAAATATATATATATATATATATATATATATATGCATATATATATATATATATATATATATATAAAATATAAATATATTTATATATATATATATATATATATATATATATATATATATATATATATATATACATATGGATATATGTAAAAATAAAATCCTTTAGATATATATATATATATATAAATATATATATAAATCCATTAATATGCATTTAAAAATATATATATATATATAAATATATATATATATATATATATATAGATAGATAGATAGATAGATAAACACACACAAGGTGGGTGTTGAAATGTTCTTTTCCTGTTCAAGAAATCCTTCACATCAAAAAGCTAATGCCTGCTCTTATGCTTCTGTCTCTGTCTGTCTGTCTGTCTGTCTGTCTGTCTGCCTCTCTCTGACTTTTTCTCTCTCTCCCTCCCAATATATTGATAAAAAATATATAGTTTTTCTTCAATATACAAAGGCTTGCAACCATATCACATTGAAACATTGGTTCTCATACAAACACCAAAGTTAAGCAACAACAATCCTGGTCAGTACCTAAATGGGTGACCACTTGGGAATATCAGGTGCTGTAAGCTTGGATGTGCAGGTGGTGTAATAGATAATAGCTTAGAATTATTAATCAGAGAATTGACTTTCAATTTCTCTTGGGCTCATCACATTCACTTACATGCAAAGGTATGAATCCTCCTCTCCCCACTGCTATGGTTTAATTAGTAAGACTTGTATCATCGCTAAACCATTATTATCTCCAAAAATAAAAAAATTCTTAGATTCTAAAAATATTTTCTGGCTGTAAATAACCTACAAAGAGTTGATAAGCCATAGGAAATGAAACAATCAATTAAATATGTCATACCTCTTCAGAACGTTGGCAATTATGACTCCACAACTTCCTACCTATTGTAGCTCTTAGTAAGTTTTGTCTTTTCATCATCCCTCCCACTCCTTTATACAAGCAATCTTGTTAGGTAGGTTACTCACTGTTTCTTTCTATCCCTCTTGCCTTTAGTATATTCTATTCTCCAAGCCTGCCTTCCTATTTATAGGTTCTTGAAATTTAACTGCCTCTGATTCTATATAAAATGTCCTTTTTTCCTCTTCGTGTTCTTTTACAACTTGGTGCTTAGGCAATGCTATGAAAATGAATCTACTTAGATATTCCGGTATATTTTCTTTTATATACAATGTCTTTTCTGGAAGCTGGTGATCATGGCTTTCCATATTTTTCTGTCCTTTGTGGCTCTTAATAAATTTCATCTTTTTGTTATCTCTCCTAAACCTTGTTCCCATTTACACTTACACGTGCTCATCTTCTACAGGACGATGACAATTATGGCTCTCCCCACTTTGTAGCTCTTAATAAATTTTGTTTTTTTGCTATCTCTTCTAAATATTGTTCCTCCATACATTTATCCAAACATGCTAGGTAGGTTAGGGGTTGTTTTCCTCTGTCCCGCTTGTCTTCAATCTGTCCTGTGGGTATCAAATTTTCCAAACCCTCTGTTCTCATTATGTTCCCTAGAAATTTCTTGCACCACTGTCATATATATTATTTATTACTTCTCTAATGTTGCCAATATCAAAATCAACTAAAGCTGCCAGAATCTCCATTACAATTCCATCAAGTACTTTAGTTTAATATTTCTATATTTTTGTACATTGTAAGTTTCCCACTTTCATTGTAAAAGAGTTCTCTAGTATATTCATTCCATCATTTAAATCTTTCTTCTTTTTCTATTATTAGCATTCCCTCTTTTGATTTTATGTATCTTGTTGATGAGCACAGCTTTTGCCTTGTTAGTTTTTTTTAAGCATGTTCACCTAAATCAAGGCAGTAAAGCCACTAAGACATAAAGGGTTACTAGGTGTAGAAGAATTAAAAAACAGAAACATTCGAAGGAATGGGAAGAAAGAAAGAGAAATCAGCAGGACAGTAGAAAACAATTGATATTGCATTTGAATTTTTCAAAATTAAAGTTGACTGGAAAGCATGGAACCAGAGAGAGAGAAAGTTCCACAAGCAAGAAATTCAAGAAAAGAAACTGTTATGGAATTTACATTTACATCTTGGACAACTCATCTGGAAAATGATGAGAACAAGATGCCAGTCTAATACTGTGATTGAATTCATGAAGTTTAGGTGACATAGTGAAGAGTGATATTTATTCTGCTATGTACAGAAATGTGGCACAAGGCCAAAAAATGGGGGATGGGGAAAAGGACGGTCTTAACGTTAAACTTAGCTAGCCACAAACACTGACCCAAGCATACAACAATATTCCTTACAATGCTTTCTGACTTACCTTTCTTGCTACATTCACCATAATACTTTATTGTTTCTATGAATATCCTAACTAGTCCCCGTATGTACAATTCATTGTTTGTAGGAGGGAAAGGGAATAAAAACAACAAAGAAGAGCTTGTCCAAACAGTTGCCATGAAAATATTTATAGAAAAGGCATAGGATGACAACTTTATGCCATTGAGAAAGTGACTGAAGCCGAGACACCAAATCAGGATCATTAATATTGTTGATTCTTCTTTTGATTTTAAGGATCTCTAGATATAAAGCAAGAGCTCTAGACCATATGTGGTAGCAATATTCTAAGCATGAATGAATGGTAAACTTATAGATATGCAAGATAGATTCAGGAGAAAAAACTTAGCAGAGAACTTGCACTTACATCTAGCAATTTCAACTATAAGATGATGAGACCTAGCTGCCAATCTAGCATTGCTTGCTGTCTCCTTTTCATCATGTCAATAATTTCATCTAACATCCACTCATTTTTCCTTTTCTAGTTTTCCTTGGGATGATCTCGTTTTCTGATGCCAATGCAATGTCATATTTTTCACTTTAAATTTCCATTCTCATTTAGTTTAATGTATTTGCTTTTAATGCAGTCAGTATATACTTCTTTGCAATCAGGTGTCTGTTATATTTTGGGTGATGGTTTGGCTTATTTATTCTGAGATTACATATTACCAGAGTGTGGTTGCTCCTACAGTTGGCACCGGCATATATTATACATTGTAAATCTGCATTCCTCAATCCAAATCTCTAATGTTTTATATATCGTTAATCTGGTTTTTCATTTCTCCTCTTGGGCTTCTTCATGTCTGTAGGTGTCTTGGCACCAAGTGTTAGTTAATATCTGGTTATTTACTGTGCATCACTGACCATATTTTTCTTTACATTCATTATGGATTCCTAGTCTGAATTTGACAAGAATTTTGCCATCTCATTCCTTCCCTGGAACATTGAAAGAAAACCTAAAGCAGTCACCAGTAAAAACTGGTCTGGGTCATCATTTTGTCTTCCAGCATGACAACCACCCAAATGTCAATTCTGGAACTACATCCAGAAGGCCAAAGTGAATGTTATGGAATAGACCGAAAAAAGCCCGAGTTATTTTTAGTAGATACTTGTTTAAGTAATAAAAATCTGCCAGATTAATAAATAAAAAAACACTCATTTCTTTACAAATATATATATATATATATATATATATATATATATATATATATATATATATTTTTTAATATATATATATATATATATATATATTAATTAACAATTCTGATTAATTATCACTTGCTCTGTTTATTACATTGACATCTCAGGATTTATATCCTCCTCATGATTATCCGTACAGATCACCAATTAACTATCATAATATATATATATATATATATATATATATATATATAAACTAATTGTGTGAAGATTGCAAGAGCATGAAACTTGAATAATGGCTCAACCTGTCCTTTGTTAAGTGTTGACGTTGTGAAGCGTTTTTTTGCTCAGTCTGGTTAATCTGCGTATTGAGCAGTTTGCTGCATAGGCAAGTGGTGGCCTTTTGGTTGTTTTTTTTCTTTCTTTGTTCAGGATTTCTTTTTTCATTCATCCTTTCTTTCTTTCTTCCTCATCTCACTTTTCTCTTCTCCATGCTTTCTTCTTTTCCATTGCTTTGTTCTACCATTCTCTCTTTCCAATTTCAATGGAGTCATAAACAAATTGAATGTCTACTTCATTATCTTTTAAAATATGTCTTATATGAAATATAGCTTTTTGCCACTAAATTCCTTTTATCTTACAGATCGAGTTTCTAAAAAAATAAAATTATTGATGCAATTTAACTGCAATCAATTCATTAAGTCAGATCAAAGTCAGTGATGGCATGTAAATTTTAATTCATCTCAAAGGCTATTAGTCCATTGTATTTAGCAGCTGAATTAATCAAAACATAATGTTATAATATTTATATAGTAATCAATTTAAGCAGAAATACTTCATTTATTAGTGTTTAATGGAGATGCCTCAGTCATATTTGACAATCAGACAAGTAAAGAAATAAAAAACAAAGCAAAGTTGTACAAATAAGTTGTAATAAATTTATTTAAGTTTGGCAATCAAAAAATTTGTGAAGTTTATTTTTGTTTAAGATCCATGTGATTAAATTTCAATCAAAAAAAGAGTTGATTTGATAAAATATAACATTTTTGTTATTATGGAGGTTTTCATTTTTATGTGACTTTGTTTAAATTTCTACAAATAAGTGAAAGGGTTAAGTTTTCCAAGCCCCCCTTTCTCAACAACAAGCCATTTGTTAGAATTTCTAAAATATAACTGTTGGCAGTGGTATTTGGCTTCTTCTTTCAGTAAAAATATATTGCCAAGTTTATTTCTGTTAAAGAAAGGAGCATTGTCCTGAAAAGGACAGTTTAATGCATCCCTTGGCAAAGATGGATAGGCCAATGGAGAGATGGAATCATGGTTCTCCAACAAATCACCTGCATCTTGATTTTCTTTTAATTGCTTTGAGGTCTCTTTATATCCTGAATCTTACAATGATGCTGGTTAAGCTTTTCTTCTGGTTGTTTTTAAGAAAATTTAGAAGTGTTGACCGGATATAAAGTGAAATGAGTAATCCTTCAGGATATAAGCAATCATGGCTCTCCACAAAATTTATCATCTTGATCTTAGCAGTTCTCTTCCTTTGCCTAGGCCCATCCATTTTCAATATCCTTCTATAGGATCATATTTCTGCTGCCACTTCTTTGGTGAGATTATCTATTGCCATATAAGCCTTCCTTTGTTTCTAATGAAATTTGAATATTACACATACGGTTTAGTTCTCCTCATATTTAGACCCATTTAACAAAAATCCAAAGAAGAATTAGTGTTATTGGTGCTGACCTGGCATCTTGGCTTCAATCAATTCCCCACCACTGTAATGTATGTGTCCTATGACATTTCTATAAATATTTTCATGGTAATTGTTCTGATGACCTTTTCTATGAAAGAATTTATATAATAGATTGGCAACATGGTCTCATTTTACAGTTGAATTGGCTAAATATAAATATATATTCTTTTCTTCCATCTTCTTTCTTTCCATATAGAAAAAATTTAATGCAATGTCAATCATTATCTTCTGCCTTCTAGATTCCTCTTCTTTACTGTTTTCATTTGTTATTAAGGTAATTATTTTTTCAAAAAAACCCTAGGAAAAGCAGTTTTTTGAAAATGAATAAAAAAAATCCTTGATTGGACGAAAAATAAATATAAA